GGATGGTCCGTAACTACTGCTGCCTTGATTGTAGCCGCCTTGTTGATTAGTGTAACCGTAATTCTGGTTACTGTATCCAGAAGTTTGACTGGGGTATCCGCTGCTCTGCGCATCATATCCAGGAGCTAGAGTGGGGTATCCGTTACCCTGGCTACCATAGCCACTGCCTTGCGGAACGTATCCGGCACTTTGCGCATCATATCCAGGAGTTAGAGTGGGGTATCCACTATCCTGGTTACCGTAACCACTGCCCTGTCCACTGCTTTGCGCACCAGGACCTTGCGGGGCGTAGCCTCCACCTTGAGTTGCGGACTGACTATCACTGGGACCACCGTATCCGCCACCGTAGTTAACATTCGGACCACTATAACTGGTAGTTGTCTGAGTAGGAGTCACGCCTCCCTCATATCCACCGCTTTGGGAATTATAACCACCTTGTTGGCTACCGTAACCCGCTGCTGGGGTTGTAGTACCGTAACCGCCCTGCTGGTTACCGTAACCCGGAGCTAGTGTGGTTGTGTATCCATATATGGCTTGTTGGTTAACAGAACCCGTAGGCATTGTATAGTAATAGCCAGGTGTGGTAGTGTATGGATCGTACATGGCACCCTCATTTGCGTGACCATAGGTCCCTTGAGGAGGACCTTGCTGGTTTGCGTCGCCGATGGCACCAGTATATTGCATTATGGCTCCACTAAAAAATTAATTATTGTCTGTCACTAATTGAGACTGCAGAAAATCCTACCTAACATCGTATTTCTGATCTCCTGTTGTTATATTGTAGCTATGCGTGATTATGTCAGAAATCTGAAACAGAGCGCGATATCTTGTGGCTGCAGACCTTTGATTGTCCTCTGTCATACCTGAGCGACTGTAGAATCATTTAGTTTGTTCTTCTTGGCAAAGTCCATCAACCAAGAGTTGTACAATTGTCCTTCATTCTGGTTATATTGTCCATCGGCTACCAGCTTGAAGGCTGAAAGAGAAAACGATATTGAAAGTAGGCGGAGCCAAATACAAAAACTGGATTACCGTAATCTGCGTCTTCATCCTCCACTGTGCCGATAATGATAGGGATTGGTGGACGACGCACAGCTAGGTTTTGTAAGGTATCGGGCAAGAATGTATCATCACGTACAATCATCCAGGTTGCTTTCTTGGCCTGAAAAAATTTTGAGGAGTGTGTAGCGCAAATGTCGATGTGTCATCTGCTCCAGAAACAGCACAAAAAATTTCGACTTTGGAACTTCTGATCAATTTCGGATTCCTGGATGAGCTACGTCTATGACTGCGCTTGCAGCTCTAAGGAATATGAGCTCTTCGGTTGTCATCAAAGGCAGCGGCTCGGCAGAATGACGAATTCGGGATACTCATCGTTCTCGGTTCCCCAGGATGCGCTAAGTCCAGTATTGTGCTTTGCAGCTTCAAGAGATATCAATAACCAGCTTTTCCAGACGT